ATAATTTTCTAACGCTTGTTTGACTAAATTAGTTTAGTCAATGAATACGTCATTCTGTTGTCGTCTCTTGTTTGAGTTTTATTTTGATTGATATTATCTATTAGAAGGTTCCCTTAGGCTTAGTTAACAATCTAATTATACTCTATGATAATACTAGCTTGAGACCTAATAAACCTTGGTTTGTACGGTCTATAATTAATCTTTCTTGTGTTTTTTATTATCTGTTAGGTAGTCCATTTACGGTCAATGTTGGTGGCCAAGGATCTGGTCGACTTAAAGAAAGTATTATTCGAGAACGTCGTGCTGTTGATATAACACATATTGGTAGTCAATGTGAATTATCACTAAAGATTCCTGGTATGTATTATTCTACCTCTTTTCTTTTTTTATTTGTTTTTCTGGTCGTTTCCTATTTGGTCTGTAAACAATGTTTGTAGGCGGAAAGAAAAGAACTGCCTCAAAGAATTTATCTGTTTGTCTATCTATAAATGTCTCAAACATTTATTATCAGTGGTTTCTCCGACGACATCGTTAACAATGTTATCTCTGATGATGCTAGTTTCTTTCTGATAGATGAGATTTTCTCACTCGACATCAACATAAAAGAAACGTAGGAGGAGTAGGATAACGACGACAAATATAGGACAAAAAAAAGAAAGAAGAGAAAGAATTCGGTACGTCGTATCATCAACTATCGTTCTTTGCATTGATGATATAGAATAAATCTATGTTTATTTCGGTGTCGATGTTAAGACAACTGCTAGTGTTATTATAGCAACAGAAAAAAAAACTAAGAAGCCCACATATACATATACATATAAGCATACCAACCAAAAGGAAAGCTGCCACCAAACACTAACCAGTTGTTTAATAAAAGATACGAATAAAAAAACAATAAATGTATCTCAGTGGTAATATTCCGCAAAGTACAAGTGGTGGTGAACATCGTTCATCTTATCAAGCTTATTCAATGTCACAAGTTAATAATGAAAAACCAATAGTTCATCGTGAACATGAAGAACAATCTCAAACATGGGGACAACCATTATCATCATCACCAACATTTTATCCAAGCAATATTGATTCTGATAGAAATTATTCATATGCTAATCGTCTTAATTCAAGTTCATCATCTGTATTTGATCGTAACAATGCATTATTAAGTGATAGTTTGGCAGCTAGACAAAAATTGAATGCATCTTCTGCATATTCAAAAATGAGCAGTACAAGTCGACAAGCACAAACTGGCGCACAACATTTTCATAATGTACCCTATTTTCATGGGTTTAAATTTCAAACACTTCCAGGTTTTATTAATTTTTATTTCATACGAAAACAAATAGAATTTTTTTGTTTTTGAATATTCTATTTGAATAATAAAATGTTTTCATTGGGTATTTTTTTTTATTTAGGCACTTCACCATTTGATATGAGCGCTTATGTTACAAGCCCATCGGGACATTTAGAAAGTTGCGAGATTGTGTAAGTTTAAGAATTTGTTATAAAAATTTTGAAAAATTTCTATTTTATATTTTATATAGTGATCTCGATGATTGCAATTATTCAATTAAATTTATCCCGAAAGAAATGGGTGTTCATACAGTTAGTGTTAAACATAAGGATATGCATATCCCAGGCAGTCCTTTTGGTAAATAGAATTTTATTTTTTGTAGTTTTTCATAAAAAAAATAAATATTTGATATCATATAGAATTTACTGTTGGTCCAATACAAGGTGGTGGTGCTCATAAAGTTCGTGCTAGTGGAAATGGTCTTGCACGTGGAGAAGTTAATATAACTAGTAAGATCAAAATAAAATGAAATGTTCTTTTTTTTATTTTTGTTAACATGAAAAATTTGTTTGTTTTTTTAAGATGAATTTAATATTTATACACGTGAAGCAGGTGCTGGTGGTCTTGCTATTGCAATAGAAGGACCAGCTAAAGCTGAAATAGACTTTTTTGATCGTAAAGATGGTTCATGTGGTGTATCATATATATGTCCTGAACCAGGTGAATATCAAGTATCAATTAAATTTAATGATGAACATATACCTGATTCACCATTTAATGTTTTAATTGGTTCACCATTTGGTGATGTTAAAAGATTAACAGTACAAAGTCTTCAAGGTAAAGGACATGCAGTTAATCAACCATGTATGTTTACTGTTAATGTAAATGGTGCACGTGGTCGTCTTGATGCTCGTGTAACAGCACCAAGTGGTGCAGAAGATACTTGTATTGTACAAGAAATGGGCGATGGTAAATATTTAAAAAGAAAACATTTATTTAAATTAATACGAAAAAAAAAATAATTTTCTTTTTTTCTTTTTTTTTAAGAACATTATGCTATTCGATTTATACCACGAGAAAATGGTGTTCATTGGGTACATGTTCGCTTTAATGGACGTGATATACCTGATTCACCATTTCGTGTTGTTGTTGGTCATGCTAATGCTGATCCAGGAAGAGTATTTGCATCAGGTTCTGGTTTATATCAAGGAGAAACAGGTAAAAAATAAAAAAACAAAACGAAATTTAAAAAAAAAAATTCTATTTCAATTATTCAAGGTGCTTCATGTGAATTTTTAATTGATACAATGAATGCTGGTGCTGGTGCATTAGCTGTTACTGTTGATGGACCATCAAAAGTTCAACTTGATTGTAGAGAAGTTTCTGAAGGTAGAAATTTTTTGTTTATTATATAATTATATTCTAGATAAATTATTCTTTATATGATTAGGTTATCGTGTAAGCTTTACACCAACAGCACCCGGCGATTATCTCATTACGATTAAATTTGCCGGAATTAATATTGCTGGCAGTCCATTTAAGTGTTTGGTCGGAGGTAATTATTTCTAATATGGTCTAATAATAAAAACGATTTAGTTAAAACAAAAACAAACAAAACCTATTTGACACAAAATATTCTTATTAGTATACTAATAGGACATTTGTCTAGACATACATCAATCCTAATACGATTGAAGATTAGATCAGTTGGATACCCACATTCGTCTAGATACTATTCCAGCTGAATACCAGTAGAACCTGCTGAGTCCAAAATAATGTTCAATAAGTCGAGTCTGGAACCCAAAAAATTTCAATAAACTGCTTCCGGATTCTCACAATGTTCAATAGACCGGGTCCAGATCTCGAAAATTTTCATTAACCTGGGTCCGGATACAAAAACTGCTGAATAAATCGAGTCTGAATCTGACGACCTCTAAATCACGGTGCATATCTACATTTGTCCGATAAAGTTGAAATATTCTGTAAAAGATAATAGATGTCAGACACACAAAACAAAAGGTTTTGATTAACTATTTATATTTAGGTATGAATTTAAATGCTAGTCGTGGTGGTTTGGGTTCAATGAGTACATCATCATCATATGTTCAACGTTCACAGGGAAATTTAGCAAGTCATTCAAAATATGATACAGTTGAACAATCATCATCATATGCAAGTGGACGAAGTAACTATGCAAGTATAGATGCAACTCGAGTACGAGCACATGGAGAGGGTTTATTACGTGCTTATCGAAATGAAAAAGCTATATTTACAGTAGATACACGTGACGGTGGTAAGATTTGATTTTGATTTTGTAAAAAAAAAAATTTCTATTTAATTAATTTACTTTAAAGGAAATGGTATGTTAATGGTAGGTGTATTCGGTCCGAAATGTCCATGTGAAGAAGTATTTATTAAACATGTTGGAAATAATCAATATAATGTCCAATATGTAAATACTTATTTTTATTTGATATTCGAAAATTAAAAAAATATTTTGGTTTTTTTTTATCTTTAGACTGTACGAGAAAGGGGTGAATATATGTTGGTTGTTAAATGGGGTGATCAACATATTCCTGGTTCTCCTTGGCATATTGAAGTCGTTTAAGACAAAAAAAAACAACGCATCAAATAAATATTAGATCGAACAAAAATTATAAAAGTTCTCCTTCTTTTTTTTTATTTATATGCATATATGCTAGAGAATTTCATTCATTTTTTTATTATTATTATATTTTCTTTCTCTCTCATTGAGTAGTTTTGTTATACTCTTGTGTGTGCACGCATGCTCAAACTACTCGTCTCTTTTTTTTTTCTTTTATTAGTCAAGGTGCTATGATGTGTGAAATGAGTTAGAGAAAACAAACAAATGAATCAGCATTGTTCTCGTTTCTACATCTATATGTTTGGTCATCCTCTTTTTCTCTCTCTATAGTTGGTCTATTTCTTTTTCTCTCTCTCTCTTCTTTTTTTTTTGTTTTTTTTTATTATAAAGAAAAATAATTTGTTCTATATATATAGATTTGCAAGAAAAGAAAAATACCTTTATCCCTATCGATTTGCTTTGTCTCCGTTTGTGTTAATTCATGTTTTCTTCTTTTTTTTTTCATACGTATTTTTTTCTAATTAAAAAAGATTTTAATGAATAAGTCGAGAAAAATCTCTCTCTCTCGCTCTCTCGCGGAGAAAAATTACTTTGTTTTCTTTCTTTTTCTTTTTTTCTTTTTTGTCAATAATTTCGATTGATTAGTTTTGCCACTATTCTTCCCCTTGAGTAATATTTATTTATTCATTGCTTTAATGCAGTTTATGATGAATGTATACATACAAACATACTTGTATTCACGATCAATATGTGAATGTAATTAAGGTTGGGAGAGGAGGGAAAGGAAAGAAATGATGACTTTATTGTAGTGAAAAAATAAAATGGAAAAACATAAAAAGAAAAAACGTCAAATACAATAAAGGATGTGGCCTAAGTTATATCTTCCTATTCTATCTTTCTACATGGATGACAAATTGAAGAAGATTAGATGCCATTCTTGTTTTTTTCTATTCTATAGTTCTTTGCTGCCTACTGAGAAAAATAATAAAAGCGAGATGCTTCCATTTGTTTCCAATAGTTCATTTTGCTCTATAATAAAACATAATAGAACACATAATTTCTTGAGCGTTTATTATTTGTCTATAAACTATTAAATACTTTCTAATGCATTCATCTCTATTACGAAAACGTCTAAATGATTTATGTGATTCAATTTCATCAACTAGTGAATCTCCAACATCATCATGTCCATCAACACCACCTTATTCTGCAACATGGTTTGAATCACCACAAATTGATTTACGTGTAATGAATAATGAACACCGCCAAAAAGTATTTGAACTTGTTATTGAAACATTTTTTCGTGATGAACCATTAAATAAATGTCTTGCATTTGATCTTCCAAATGAACCGATTGAATTTGTTGAACTTGTCATATCAATAGCTTTAGAAGATCAATGTTCATTTGTTGCTATTGATATTCAAACAGAAAATATTATTGGTGTTATATTAAATATAATAAAATATCGTCTACCATTAACAACAATTAATAATAATCAAGATAAATTTGATATAAAAAATTTTCAATCAGAAAAATTACGTTTTATATTAAGTGTATTACAACACGTTCATAATAATATTGATTTATTTGAAGAAATGAATACAGATCATTTATTACATACAGTTATTATAGCTATTGATGCACATTATCGTGGTCTGAGATTAACGGAAAAATTAATTCATGCAAGTTTAGAACGAGCAAAAAATGAATTTAATATCAAAGGAGCTTTTACTGAAGCAACAAGTCTTTATTCAGCTAAAGCATTTCGTAAACAAGGCTATCAACGATATAATGAAATTATATATATTAAATATGATAGTGTACGTTTAGCTAGTCTTGTTGGAGAACACGATCGATGTCAATTACTTGCTAAACAACTATAAATCTTTTTTCTCTTCTCTTTCTCTCTCTTCGTATTTTTAATGTTGTCTTTTTTTCGTGTCTGTTTTGTATATTGAGAAAAAAAAGTGCTCGTCTGTGACTTTAGTTTCGGTTCAATGATTTGATTTATTATTCTTTACGATAGCAAAAAAAAAAGGTATTCGTTAGGTATAACATATGCATATGTAGTATACAAATATTTTAGTTGTAGTAAAAAAGAAAAACATTGTTTTGACTCATATTCAAATGAAATTATTTAACTAAGAAAAAATTGAATAATACTAATGCGAAAGTCATCAGAATTAAATATATCAATTGATAATAATTCAAATTCTACCACAATTAGTCATGAACAATTTCATCGTTTACGTCGTATAGCTTTTTGGTCATGTATTATATCATTTATATTTAATATTGCACTTGGTTTAACAGCATACATTAATTGTATGCGTACAAAATCTTTTGTTGGTTTTTCATTTTCTGTTCATGCATTCATGGATTCATTATGTGCAAGTTTTGTATCATGGCATTTAACAGCAACATCAATTGTTGATGTTCATCGTCGTGATAAACTTGCTTGTTGTGTTATTGGTGCATTATTTATTGGATCATTTCTTGCTATTGAAACACGTGCTATACAAAGTATGATATTAGCACCTACAGTACGACCCGATATGACTGTTGTTATATATTCTTTAATACATATTATTGTATTTACAATATTATCAATAATAAAAATAATTATTAGTAAACAAATTAAATCAACGGCATTAAAATTTGATGCAATAAATTCTGTTATTGGTATTATTATGGTTTTACCATTATTAGTTTGGGATCGTGTTATATTTATAACTAAATTTACACATCTCGATGATCTTGTACAAGTATTAATAGTTTTATTTTTATTTTTAGCTGGAGGTAAATTAATATTAGATTCAATAACAAAAATGAATATTGAATATGCACGTAAAGTACGTGAAGACAAATTAAAAAAAATGTTAACAGAAACCGGTTATGATGGTTTTGAAAGAAGAACTAGTAATTATGTTGTTGGTACCTGATGATTGTTCTTTTTTTTGTCTTTTCTTCTTGTGTTATTTCAAATCGATAAGTATAGAATGAATTTGACAAAAAAAAACAGTTTGTTTTATTTTTTTTCTTTATGATTAAAAAATAAAATTAATTATAGAATTCTCATTCAATGGATATTATAACGAACTATGTTGAAAATCAAAATCTGTATTTCAAAAACAAATGTATATCGATAAATTTACAAATATATAAATATAAAGTTGTCTATGAACAAGTTCATGACTACACGAAAAATGAAGTACAACATATTGATATTACTATTTATAATTCTAAAAAAAAAATCAATGATATATAGACTTTTAATTAATTTATTGTTGTGTTTTTGTGGATCATCAATGATTGTAATATTACAGATTGAAAAAATAACATTACTGGAAATTTTAATAGATCGACAATGAGATAAAGAATATTACATGAATATCATTTAAAGATATTAACAATCTTCGTTTCAGTTAAACTGGAACAATTTTCTTAATTCAATCATTATTCTATTTAGTTCTGGACTTCATAAACAAGTTGATTGTTTTGCTTTAGTACTAATTATAGATGTAAGTTGATCATTTGAGCCATCGCCGAAAGCTAAAACAAAAATGTTAGAGACATCCAGCTGTTGCCGCCGACAGAGGAAAAAAATTATAATAAGCTCATCCATCACTGCCAATTAATACATTGAGTTATATTTAAATACAATATCTTTTTTACTTTAACCATGATAAATGATTCTATAAAACCAAAAAAATCAATTAACTATTCAGTTAAATTTGTTTCTACCGAGATCAATAAAAGATATATTTATTCAAGTCATTTCTCGAAAGAGTTTTGAACAAGTGAGTGTATATCTTTCGTAAATAGATCTATTGATAGAGAAAATATTATAAATAATCGAAGATAACCTTCGATTTGAAATATTTTCATAATAATTTTCGAAGAAAATACTAAGACTTTATTTAATTTATATAATAGAGTCTACTCTAATCTTCGATCTATGTAATCTATATTAGACTTACCGATTCGATCATTTAATTTCAAATTCAAAACAAACTTTAACACATCAATAATTGGATGGATGGATGTTTTGTAGTAATATCGAGTCCTAAAATTTAAACTAATGTTTACAATAGATGTCATTAAATGACTTTTTTTTTCGTTTATTGGTTGTTTTATATTATCGACTTTCGAACGAACAAAATAATTTTAATATTTGTTCATATATCATCATATAACTGAGATAAATACTTGTTCGTTTTCAGATGGAAAATGAAATTGATGAAGATGAATTAGCAGCAATACTTGCTGAAGATGAACAAGAAGAAGAAAGAAAATATGAAGAATCAACAACAAAATTATCTTTCTTTGAACAAGCAGAAACAATGACACCTGAACAATTAGTTGAATTAACATGTTTACTTGTTGATAAACCAACAACAGCTAAAAAAAGTCCTACATACAAATTTTCTAATATTGATATTGGAGAATTATCTGGAAGTAAAATATCAAAGTATGAAAAAAAGAAAAACTAGTAGATCATTACCACAGTATATTCACAAGAAAACGAGACTTAGCTGAATTCATTCAGTTTGATAATTTATTATAATAATCTACATGAGACTCACATGATCTGTTTGTATAAATATCAAGAGTTTAATTTCAAGATTTAGAATAGAAGTTTGTTCGAAACCTGTGTTTCATTAATAATAAGAAATATAAATAAAAATGTACCTGTAATCGTCTTGAATTGCATCATGAAATCAAACTTGCGTAGTACTTGATAAATCTTAAGCGGTGCACAGTAATAAAATAACTTCTTTCTTACGAAGAAAATCCTGCAAGTTGATAAATTGCTTGTGGATCGAGACTGTTTTAACGAGAATAGTTTTTTGTGAATGTCTCAGATCTTATCACTGTTCCTATCTTAAGAAACAACTGTGGCAATAGCATGTCTTTTACATTGCTCATATACACCGGCAAATTTGATGTTTTTCGTTTCAGAATAGAAGCAAATCAAAAGGACTGAATCTACTCTTGATAAGGCTTATCCCTATGCAAAAGTTTCAAGTCGAAAGTCAAAAAATAGTTTTTCTGTTACCATGGCATTCATCAAAAAATCCCACAAAAGTGTAGTGTCCCCACAGCAATAAGCTAATAGCACGAAATCTTTTCAGGATATTCATAGCTCATGTGAATCTAGATAATACACATAGTCTTGATTCAAAAGCGATTTATCAACTGGAGGACTTCTCTCTCATTAGATGAAGTCATTGTAAAATAAATCACAAAATGAATATCATTATTTTGTTAATATATAATTTTCAAAGTATTTTTATAGATTATTCAAGCTAGTCCGACAGTTCAAAAATAATATGAAAAACTCTCCATCACTAGCTCCAATACTTTTATCAATTATTAGAAAAATTGAAACAAATTATACTCGTCAAATAAAACTTTCTATTTTGTAGAGAATTAAAAAAGAAGAATCTTTCATACTTAAAGATAGAAAATATGGACATTGTTTACAAATGTAATATTTTCGAGAAAAAAAAAACAAAATATTTGAAATTTTTTAGTTCGTTACAACAAAAATCAAACAAACAACAATCTTCTACATTAACAACTGGATCAAAAACACAATCAATAATAACACCATCAATTTATCTTGATCCAACAACACATATTCGTATAGATACACTTAATTATACACCAAATGAAATTAAAACAAAATTAAATTCAATAAAATTTATTCGTTTATTTGAAATTGATAAACAACCATCACCAATGCCAACAGAATGGTGTACAATGGCTGTATTAGTTCATAAATCTGATGTTAAACAAGCAAGTAACAGCTCAACATATAGTATATGGCGTATAACAGATTTTAAAACAACAATAAATATGTTTCTATTTGGTGAGGCACATCAAACATTATGGAAAACAACATTATCAAGTGTTTTACTTATTTATAATGGTGATACAAAAAAATCAGGACAATTATCAATAAAATATGAACGTAATCTTTGTATTCTTGGTTCAAATCCTGATTTAGGTCAATGTAAATCGAAAACAAAATCTGGTGAACAATGTAAAATATTAATTAATCGACATGAATGTGAATATTGTATTACACATGCTCATCAAATACATAAAAATAATCAACGAAATACAAATAAATTTAATGTTAATAATATGTCAAGAATGAATTTACAAAATACAGGTTCATTTGTACCAAAAAAATTTGCTAATCTTGCTAGTAATTATACTGATGTTAGTTCATCATCATGGTCAACAAATTCATCAAAATCCACATTAAAAAAATCGAATGATTCATTGAAAACAACTGGAAATGAACTTACTAATAAAGAAAAATCCTTGCTTATTATGTTAGGTATTGAAGATGATCCATTAGTATGTGTACGAACTCAAGAAACTAAAGGTTTGTTGATTTTTTTTTTTTTTATTAAATTCAAAATATATTAATTTTGAATATAATTTTTTGTTTTGTTCTAATTTAGGTTTAGCTGATTCCATGGCTGATATTCGTGAACTTTATCAAGCTAAACAAGCAGCTAATAAAGTTAAGAAAACGATGCAAGATGAAACAAAAAATCGAGATCAAGATGATACGACAATTCCAATTCGATCGTATCCATTGGCTGCATCGACATCACCTCCACGAGAATTAAAAAATTCACCAAAAAGTTTAATAACGAGTCAAACAATTTCGACATCTGTCATTAACAAGAGTAAGTCATTTTGAGAAAATAATTAATGTTTCATTACTAATGAAAATATTTTAAATAATTATTTATAATTTCTGTTCATAAAATCTAAATAGTGATTTAGATAATCAATAAAATCTTCTGTTAGATGCACAACATATCTTGATTTCATAATTGAACTACGTGTGAAAATTTTAAGGTATAACAAGACTTTGTAGAAGTTTGTTTTAAACAGTACTCTTTTGAAAGAGAACAACAAATGTAAGAGTTCGCCCCGTTTTTTTTACGACTTTCCCTTTTTTTTTTCGTGTTTTGTGATGCGTGTAACTTTGCAAGGAAAGATCGGAAAAAAGAACGGCGATTCTTTATATTTTTTGTACTCTTTCAAAGAGTACTGTTGAAAACGAATTTCCGTAACGTCTTCTGGTACCTGAAAACGACTGTGTTCGGTATTTTAGAAAACTTTTGCACATAGTTCAACTATAAAGCCATGATATATACTGCATCTGATAGAAAACTTTATTGATTATCCAAATCTATATTTGTTATCATAAACAAATATTGTTCTTCATTTTTATTATCTTATCACGTTTATGTATGGAGCATGCTTTGTCTTTTTCATTTTTTATTTTTTATTCATATGATTTTCCGATCGTTCTTTTTGAGAATAGACTTTGAAATAGGCATGCACCAAACTCGGACATTCAAGTTCGACCTTGATTGCAGCTATTTTCCATTAATTAACAGAAGGACATAGAAATAAGTCAAAAGAAAGAATTCCAAGATTAGTTACAGTAGAATAAATGATCCGAAATATGACGAGCTACAGACATTCTAAACAAATTCAGAACTACACAAGAAACGCTTGGACAATTAACTAAATACTCGACACTGTCTGAACTAGTTGAATAAGTTCCAAATTTGAACGTAAATCATTCGTCCAGTCATTGAAACTAATGATTTGAATGCAATTGAATTCTAAATAATGATCGGAATACAACTGTAGAGCTTTATTATCTTATTCTAGATCGATTGATGGAATTGTTTTGTAAGAAACATTAAGTGAAAGAAGAACATACTTATCTATTGCAAACTAATAGTGCCTACTGAATCGTTCGGTATTTTTTTAATGAATGCCGCAGCAAAAGAAAAACTGATTTTCGAGTTCCGACTTGAAGCTTGGCATAGAGATAAGCCTCAACGAGAATAATTTCAGGTCTTTTGATAGTCGCCTTCTATCTTGAAATAAGAACACCAAATCTGCCAGTTTATATAGTTGTATGTTGGAACAGATACAACAACAAGATCTTCAACATCTACAAAAAACTATTTTCATTTAGGTCAGCCTCTATGAAAAGTTTTAAGTTAAAATTCGAAAATCAGTGTTTCTCTTGCTATGACATTCATTAAAAAAAAATACCGTACGATTCAAAAGTGTTTTATCAATTGGAGAACTTCTCTCGTTCGTTTGGTAGAAATAATTATATCCAGACAGAAATATCCGTCAGCAGAGACTGTTTTTCTTTATCTAACTTATATCTTTGAATAACCATTTAAATATATAGTTTTAATAAATTTTTAAAAATTCAATTTCTTCTTTAGTATCTTCACCTAAAGAATTTGTTGATTTAACAAAACCAGCTAGTTCTGAAGCAATTAGTAATGCTAAACAACGTGCAATTGATATACTTAAACAACGTCTTGCTCAAAAACAGATTACACCAGTTAAAGGTCAATCATTAATATCTGCTGATGAATCATCTTCTTCTTCTTCTCCGAAACGATCAAATACTGAATCTGATTCAATTATTTCATCAAAACGTCTTAAAGTATCAAATAGTAATTCTGATTCAGTTGATCAAAAACGTTTTATTGATATAAT